TGATCAGCGTCAGCTTCACCTCAGTCAGATGATGTCACTTCCTGTGAGCCATACCTTTAAAGGCGCATTACACACATTTCATGATGAGTTTTATGTAAACATGACAGGACTGACCGAAAACATGGGTACAGTTGTAAAATAGAATTGATTTGTAGAATTTATGTATAATTTCATGTTTTTAATCAGTTGATGTGAATGATAACAACTTAAACTTGTTATTGATGGAGTTTGTAAATAACAGTTTTTAGCATAACAAAACTATGTAGGTCCAATTTGGCTGAGGACAAGAACAGGATTTGTAATTTTCAAAAGTGTTTTTAATAAATTAAAAAATATCTGAGAAACTAATGAACGACATATTCCTTTACAAACAACTCGCAGAAATCAACCATCAGTCAGTTTTAGACATTTTTTGGATGTAATACTTTTTATTCACTGTAACAAGTCAAGGACAGATGATGTACATTTCTGCTAGAATGTCCCACAGGAGAGTTTTCAGGGAGGCAAACCCTATCCAGCTACAAAGAGCAGTCATTAGTTCACTTATGTACTGTACTCCCGGTCCCTTTCGTAACCATTAGGCGAATAAGAATAAATATAAAGTGTGTGTTTGTGTGGGGTGTCCTGGTATTCCTTACGTTATAGGGACAAAACGTTACCACAAGTATAGTAATACTAATACACGTAGACTTCCTGTGAATGATAACAACTTAAACTTGTTATTGATGGAGTTTGTAAATAACAGTTTTTAGCATAACAAAACTATGTAGGTCCAATTTGGCTGAGGACAAGAACAGGATTTGTAATTTTCAAAAGTGTTTTTAATAAATTAAAAAATATCTGAGAAACTAATGAACGACATATTCCTTTACAAACAACTCGCAGAAATCAACCATCAGTCAGTTTTAGACATTTTTTGGATGTAATACTTTTTATTCACTGTAACAAGTCAAGGACAGATGATGTACATTTCTGCTAGAATGTCCCACAGGAGAGTTTTCAGGGAGGCAAACCCTATCCAGCTACAAAGAGCAGTCATTAGTTCACTTATGTACTGTACTCCCGGTCCCTTTCGTAACCATTAGGCGAATAAGAATAAATATAAAGTGTGTGTTTGTGTGGGGTGTCCTGGTATTCCTTACGTTATAGGGACAAAACGTTACCACAAGTATAGTAATACTAATACACGTAGACTTCCTGAGGACATTCGAGGGACAGCTGAAGATGAAGAAAAAAACGGTCTGTTCAAAATTAAGAAAGAAGTAAAAAATATGCACAGTTTATGTTGTTGGTATTTTAGTTTATTTTATTAAGATTTCTGTTATTTAATCAATATTTTTGTAAGAAGGTTGTTTAAACATTTTTATTTGTTGTTAAATTAGCTTTTCTAATAAATGAGTTATTAATGGCCAGTATGTGTATGTAATTTGCCTTTAAGTGTAATAAAAATAAAAATAAAAATAAATAAAT